GAAACACACCCTGGCCATTAATTATCCCCAGAGCAACTTCAAGAGTGGCCCGATTTTTTACCCCAAGTTCGCCATCTTCCCTCTTCTCGCACCCTTACCACCTGCTGCAGCTCCTCAGATACGGTCGGTCGGCCTCTCCACGTGGGGATGGCGTCTCCACCTCTGTGTGCTCTGCCCTCTGGTCCGAGAACTCCGTCATTCCCCCCCAAACCGTGCCTTCCGTCTCCCCAGCTCAGAGAGGGGGTTGCTAGCTGCTCACACTGCCTTCTTCCTGAGACCGACAACTTCCTACGTGCTCTCCGGTAGTGTTTTATCACCCTGAACATCCCTCTTAAGAGATGGGGAGAGCTTCGCCCCAGAAAAGGGGAGCTCACTATGTCACTGTTGCCCAAAGCACTTCCAGGCACGCAGAAGATGAAGTCAAACCTCCCCACTCCTGACTCGGAGGGCCCAGAGGGCCAGGGCCACCCAGCCTCTGCTGCTCCCCCCCTCCTCAGCCCTGACACCCACTCCTCTTCCTCCCCCAACTGCACCTGCTTTCGGCACATGTGTGGCGTCCCGCCCCTTAGCCTGGCTGTGCGGGCCCTCTGCATCCCAGCTTACTTGCCATCCATCTAAAGGATGTTTGCTGACTGTCCCCCAGCATAGCTTCCCGGATCATCAAGGCATGCTGTTGGAACTATCTGCCTTCCCGGCACGGGAGAAATTCCGCAGAGTCCCAGTGCAGCACAGTGGCTGACATACTGAGGACCTCTGAGGAGACATGAATCTATTTCCACCAAGGCCTGTGCTTTCTCTTCCCTGAATGGCACACTCCCTGTCCCGTCCGCTCCTGCTAGGCACCCCACCCTAGAGCTGGCGCTTCATCCCATCATGAGCTCCCACCACATGCACTCTTTTCGATCTCCGGTTTCTGCAAAAACTTTCTGGAAGGATCACATCTCTCACAACTGCCTTCATAAGAACCTTTTTTTAATTATTTAGAAATGCAGTTATATACATAGAACAATTAAAATTAAATTAAACTTTGTACAAATATTAAAATACTATCTTCACACCCACTGCAATGTACAGGATACCAAAAAATATATATATAAAATAAAGCAAACCCAAACTGATTTGAGTGACATCCTGCACAGAGTCAATGATGCATGTGTCGTTTGAAACCATTATATAGGAGTACCATTCTGCAAAGGATTCCATAGTGGTGTGATAAGAAGCCAGGGCAGGGTGTGGTGGGCTGCCATGCAACCCAAGTCCATCTCTCCTCCTGCTTGGCAATCTGAGTGCTTGGCCCCTACATGCCCTCCAGTTAGCTCTGCTGCCCGATGGAGGGCTCAACCTGGGGGTTTTCATTCAAAATTCTATTAGGTTTTCAACTGGAGATTAAGAGGAGCTGCTTCCCAGCAAAGCTGAGCCTACTGCCTTTCCCTGTCCAGGGAACCAGCTACTCTACCACTCGGTCCATGCTTCTGCCAAGCATAATCTCTTGCAGCCCCTCCCCGGGCACCGGGAGCGACTGGCCCCCTACTGAGAGCCAGGGCCCCAAGCAGCACCCCCCCGAGAGAAGCCCCCAGCATCACTGTCCTCAGCAAGCACATCCGGAATTGCACTATAAAGCCTGTGTACCACTTCCCTTCTGAGTCCTTTATTCTCTTTAAGGAGGAAAGAAAGGCAAGGATGTAGAAGTGTTTGCAGCATATCCCATTTTCTATGTGACGGTGTTCCCTGCGAACGGAAGAGACATTGCTCTGTGGCAAGCAGGTGGTTTGAGAGCTCAGGCAGAACCAGGAGGGGAGAGGCCGAGTGCCTGTGGATCCCTGTGCCAGCACTAAAGAAGCAGGAAAAGTCTACCTTTGTCTGTCTTGCCATCAGGCTTCTCCAAAGAACTTGAAAGTTGGGGGGGGGGAGGAGGAGGAGGAAGGGATGAATGGGGAAGACAACATGAGCTTAAGTTCTGTTTGCAAATGGAGTGTTAGTAGAATGCACACTGAAATGCCATGTAAAGCCAAAAGAACTTGCAAAGTGGCTAGGATTCAGCCCATTTCACAGTTCACACCAGTGAAACAGGAACACAGCACACAAAATTCAGAAATAGCAAAACAGAGAGCCTATCTGCTAAACTAAGGCATTGAAAGGGACAGAAATCTTAAGCGATTTTCACCACATACTGGCCCTTGAAAGTCGCTGGCATGTGACTGCAAGTCACCAGGATATAAAACCTGCACTGAGTCAGCTCATGTGTGCAAAAAGACACTTTTAGTCCTTTGGTTCGGGCCATTCTCCTGGACAAGCCCTCTGCTGGACTCCCCTAGAGGTGAGCCCTGGAAAGCCAGGCCCTGGGCGTTTCTCCCACCGGCTCCAGGCTCCTTTGGCAGCCTCCCGCCTAATGACCTGCTCCCTGCCACGGCCCTTGTCTCCCGGCCCTTGTCTTCCCGCCCGGCTCCACCGCAAGGCAGCTGTGGAGTCCCTAATCCCTTAAAAGGGACAAAGCCCAGAAGCCCTAGAAATAGCAACAAGCACCTGGCTGATGGCTAAGAAACTGCTCCAGAGAAGTTCGAGGTGAATGGGGGCTCCCGGGACAGGGACATGGGAGGGGGGCCTCAGCAAAGCCAATGACGCAGAGCGGGGAGAGAGGGGGTAAGGGAGTGTGTGTGCACTAGGTTCCCACTTATCCAGACTTTCTTTCCCAACCAGGTAGGCAAGTCTGGGCTTGTGATCCCCAGGATGGTGTTAACGGTGGGCGAGGTGGAAGAAGGCTTCAAAAGAAAGGCTTTTCTTTTTTTTTTTTCCCCCAAGGGCTAAGCCGGTCACCTATGTGGTTGAACAAACCCAAAACAAATAGTGCAGTCTCTTGGGGGGAAAACCCAGAGTAATGGGATAAAAAAGGGGTAAGATTTTCCATTTTAAAAAATATTCCAGGCTGCAAGCCCAACAGTGAGACTTTGGATCCCTCCACCATTTGTCCCTGCTTTCTTTTCTGGAGGAAGACAAGGGCACCCCTCCGTGTGTGAAGAGGCAACTCGGGTCCATAGGGACCCCACCCTCCAGATGGGCCCAGTGCTAGCGACTGCTGGAGGCACGTCTCCAGAAACGGCCTCTTCGGAGGCCAAGGCCAGGCCCCCCGGTCATCTGCAGGTCTCTTGGGGGCTTGCTTTCCAGCATCTCCGTCAACCCGCTCCATATGGAACCAGCCGGCTCCTGGAGGGAGGAAGGGGGTTGCCCGCAGGCCCAGCAGGCACTGCCCTTACCCTGAGTGAAGGAAGCCTACAGTGGTGCCAGGAGGCTGGGAAGGAGCGGGCGGTAAAGTGCGTGAGAGAGTGACGCAGGAGGCCGAGAGGAGGCCATTCCCCTAATCTTAGCGGCCGCCCACGCCTGGAGTTACCGTTAGGTCAGGTACTGAAAATAAACTGGGTTCTTTATTGTTCTCACCACCCCAAACAGAGCAGCCTGGGCAGGAGCAGAGGTGCCGGCAGGGTCAGCGACAAGTCTCCCAGGCCCAGTGCTTCAAAAACAAAACAGAAATAAGCATTCCTCAATGCCACATCTTTTGAGGATGGCAGTAGCCTGGCTGAGCCCTGCCACCCCAACCTTGGCCAGCACCCACAGGTGGCAGAGCGAGAGCCCCCCCAGAAGCATCGGGGAGCGTGGAGCCCACCCCCTTCGATGGCAGGGCTCCGGGGCCAGGCTGCCTGGCGAGCTTTCACCCACTGCAGACCAGCGAGGTGGGGTGTCGGGGGCTGTCAGCCCCTCGCCCAGGTGCCGGGGGGAGCAGGGAGTCCTGTGTCCGCTGTGACATGTAGGAGGGGGGCCGGGGAAACACGAGGAGGGAAAGCAGTGGTGCGGCGAGCAGCAGCATGCTTCCGGGCGCAGTTACTAAGGCACGTGACTGTGGTGACGAGGACCCTCAAGACCGGGGCTGGAGCCGCCTGCAGCTGCCTGGGGACTCGGTCTGTGCCTCTCAGGCTCCCTTGCGTCACCACGAACCCAGAACAGGGCAACCTGCCCTGAATGCCAGTGGCCACACGGGCATTCCGCGGCACCTCAGCAACCCTCCCGTCCCAGCGATGATTCACCTCGGGCCCTGTGGGCAGTAAGGAAGCAGAGGTTGCCAAGGATCCAGCCCAGGAGGCAGCAGGCCACTTCCCCTTACACTCCAGTGAAACAGAGAAAACCACGGCCAGGAAGGCCAATGCTGGACGTAGGAAGTGAGGACTCGCATATCAGGAAAACAACCATTATCAGCCACCTTCCTTCCCTCCCTCAGGATCTTCTCCATGCTTCTTGGGAACTCAACAGGGCCAGGAGCCAGCACCTCGGAGCCGGACAGCTGGGTGCTGGCATAGCTTTGGCATGGTTTTGCCCACATCCTCCATCCTCAGCCAAAGAAATGTGCCACCGGTGTCAACTAAGGGCAGGCCCAGGGACCCACATTCTTGCCCTAATTAGAGCCACCCTTGGATCTGCCCCTGCTAAGGGCAGCGGTGCCAGCCCTCCGAGGTAAGAGGCCAGCCCCAGCCCCAGCCCCCTGTGTGGCAGAGGCCGCGGGGCAGTCACTAAGGCTTGTAGGACAGCCACAAGCCCACCTGACAGGGGAACTGGAGGGGCTGGGGGGAAGGCACAAGTAAACACAGCGGCTCTCAGGCCCGCACAGGCTGGTGGGGTCTGCCACCAGAGAGCTGGCTGGGGGGGACCCAGAGGGCCCTGGGAAAGGAAGAGTTCAGTCCAGCGCATTCAAATATGACCCCGACACAGATGGGAAGGCCAGGCTAGGCAAAAGGCCAGTTCCTCCAGCTGTCCAGCAGGCAGATGGCGAGACTCTTCCTCGAGCTTCCAGCAAGGCGGGCCTGGAGGCCCTCGGACATACAGAGATACACAGATACACAGGTGGCAGCTCAGGTATCCGGGTAGGGTGGCTGGAGTACAGGGCGCTCAAAACCCCAGGAGAGGGCAGAAGGACAGAGAGGACCGTCGCAGAGAGGAGAGGCCCGTGACAGCGCTCATGCTTCTTTCAACAGTGGGATATCTGCAGGAAGAGAAGACAGGAAAGCACAGTGGTTACCCTGCTGGATCTCTCTCTGCAGCACAGCTGACCCCACTTCAGGGTCCCCATGCAGGCCCTGGTCTGAAGACATAAAATGCCTCACTCAGGGGCGCCTGGGTGGCTCACTCGGCTAAGCGTCCGACTCTTGATTTTGGCTCAGGTCATGATCTCAGGGTCATGAGATCGAGCCCCACATGGGACTCCACCCTCAACGAGGAGTCTGCTTCTTCCCCCCTCTCTCCCTCTTCCTCTGCCCCTCCCCCCACTCACGTTCTCTTTCTAAAATCAGTAAATTAATTAAAAAAAAAAAAGCCTCACTCATACCCTTCTAACGAGTCTAAACCCTTCAGCCCTTTCTTCAGGCCTTCCTTGTTCATCTCTCCCTCTACGTTTGTGATAAAATCTGAATGTTCAGTCTAGTATTCGAATCCCCTCTGGTTCCACTACCTTGGACCTCCTCTCTGCCTTGACTCCACTGGTCTAGTTGCTTCTCTTTCTATCCTTAATCTCACGTTATAAGGCTGCGGAGCCCTGCTTAGGTCCCACCTCCTCCTTACGGCCATCCACCAGCTGTGTGATACTGAGTAACTCACTTCCCCTCTCTGGGTCTTGGTCTCCTTTTATGTCCACCTGGTTGCCTCGAGGTCCTGACTTCCCACCAGGCCATCAGGTGCAGACGGCTCAGTCAGTCTGCAACAAGCTGGAGAAACTGTATCTTTTCTATGCCCCTCACTCTGACATGGACCCTACAACTTCTGGTTCCATTATTTCTCAAATATAGGCCTGATCTTCCCAAACGACTGACCATCCATGCAGGCAGACAGCAGGTTTCAAATTACTTTCTATCCCCCCAGAAACCTAACTAGCACCAGGCACAAGATGGGTTCTCAAAAATGCTTGTTCAATAAACAGAACAAAGCAAGGTAGCAAGGAGAAGAAGGGAGAAGAGCAGGCGCCATCAAGGCTCCTGAGGAAAGGTAAGGGCCGAGAAGTGCACTTGGGACAGGTGTCAGTAAGTGCAGACACTTAACCCGTACAGCTGGCTATCCACGGGGTCACTGGCTTCCACCTTTAGACCTGGGTCAACTGTGTAGCGACCCCTTCCTAGCTCTCTATCCCACCAAAAGAAGGCATGCTGTTGATTTCAGGAAACTCCTAAACGTGATCTGCATTAAGAATTTCCAACTTCTTTGCTTTTAGATACTCTAAGCCTCAGACATTAACTGGGTCCAGGACTCCCAGGGCACACACTGATTCCTCGCTGGCTTTCCGAGGAGCCTGGTTAGTGCAGAAGCCTCCCTGTCCAAAGGGAAACAGCTAGGTTTAGGCTGCATCCTGAACCACACTGGGGTTTCATGTAAAGATACTGTTTAAAGTGACTGGGTCAATCCCGATATTCAACTCTCCAGGCTCCAGAAAAGGCAGACAGGTCAGGAAGTGGCAATTTCCTTCTACGGCTGGCCTGCCACGGAGAACCCGAAGTCACCTGCGAGGCAGCATGGCACTATGGGTTATAAACAGGCTTCAGAGCCAGATCCATCTGGCTTCAAATCCCAGCTCAGCCACTTACCAATGGGCAAGTGACATATGTCCTGGCCTCAGTTTCCTCATCTGTAAAGTAGGAATGGTAATAACACCTACTTCTCAGGATCTCTGTGAGGTTTAACCGAGATAATGCAAGAGAACCGACTACCCAGGAGTGGCATACCCCTGGTTTCAAATGAAACTGCTAAATGCCCTGGAAGACAGACCAGCTCGTTTTCTCTGTAATGTGACCCCATACCTCCTTGTCACTCCTATCCTTTCAGGAACATAAAAATTATAACAGGAGAACAGACCCCGCTCCCGCCTCCAACCAGCTGTCCTCCCTTTGATTTAGCACAGCTCTGTGGCCACAAATAGTTTTGGAAACTCCAAACTATCAAGATTCACAGACAACAGTCAAAAGTCTCCTATACAGAGCCCGAAGCACCCCCCAGCAGCTGAGGGTGAGACCTTACTTTGTAGGCTAATCCCCCAGGTATTATCTTCCTTTGCCCCCCAATACCCAATTATTAGGCTCACAGTCCTTCCTCACTCCCCGCAAGGCCGTCAAGTAGCGGCTCATAATTCATGCTCAGTGCAGACCACCTACCATCTGTGTAGTCCTCCGATGTGAGGGATAAAAGGCTTTGTATGTCACTGTTCTCCGAATCTGGGGCTTCTTTGAATGCCACTTGGCTGTTCCCTGAGCCAGCCACCCAGGAAGAGGTGGTTGCCTGATGCACCATCACTGTCTCTGAGCTCTGAGGGCCCCAGGCTTCACATAGTCCAGACTGGCCTGGGGCCTCCTCTCCACCTGCAGAGGAACAGGCCCCCTGGTCCTGCAACTGCTGCTCCCTTGGCCCGTTCCTCCCACTGGGCCCAGACCCTTCTGACAGCACAATCTGCACCCTGGGGTCAGCAGGTGGCACACAGTGACCAGAACTGCCATACACAGCTTCCTCATAGGACGGGAGCGCAACCTGGACTCCATCCACCATGATGGACACCTGGTCGCCAGATATCCCCTGGTCGCGCCTGCAGCCAAAGGAGGAAAAGACAGAGGAAGAATTAAAATACACACACAAATAAATACCACAACACCAACAATACCCACCATTTTTGAGCACTTACAATGTGCCGGGCACAGCACTAAGCGCTTTATCCCACTGAACCCTCACCTGAGCCCTTTTGGGTACAGATTCACCAAAAGTGCAGATGAGGCTCAGAGAAGTCAAGTAACCTGCCCAGTCACATAGCTGGTCAGGGAGGAAGCTGGGATGTGAATCCAGTTCCGTCTGCCTCCAGAGACTCTGTTCTTACCCTCTGGGTACACAGGCACCCAGCCCTCTCTCGTCCTGTGCAAAAACTAGGAACCTAGAGACCTAAAAATAATGCCATCATTCAGCACAGGTAGGAAGTAAGAGCATAATGCTTGCACATATCTGTGAATATACTGTCCGAATATTTTTAGTGTATACACTCTATGGTATGTGAATTAAATCTCCATAAAGCAGTTTTTAAAAAAAAGGAGGGAGAAGCAGCACTGTGGTCTTGAAATGAGACACCGGAGTTGAAATCTAAGGAATTTTGTTCTTTTGACTCAGCTTTTTCTTAACTTAAAAAATTATGTGTAAATTATAACACAAACAACACACAAAAATAGAAAAATGTACAGCTCGTTTTATCCCAAAGGTAACTGCGGTGTAACACCTACCGAGGTGAAGACGGAGAATGCTGCCGGCACCCCGACACCCTGTTCCTGTCGCTATGACCTCCTACCCCCCCCACAGCCAAAGTAACCACTATCCTAACTTTCATGAACATCATTCCTGGGGCACCTGGGGGCTCAGTCGTTAGGCGTCTGCCTTTGGCTCAGGGTCCTGGGATCGAGCCCCGCATCGGGCTCCCTGCTCAGCGGGAGGCCTGCTTCTCCCTCTCCCACTCCCCCTGCTTGTGTTCCCTCTCTCGCTCTGTCAAATAAATAAAATCTTTAAAAAAAAAAAAAAAAGGAAAGAAAGAAAATCATTCCTTTGCTTTCTATTTCAATAGTTTTACTGCCTGAACATGAACCCTTCAACACCACAACTGAGTTTTGCATATTTTTTATCTTGATACGAATGGGATATACAATGAATGTATGTATGTGTGTACCTGTATCTGGCTTCTTTTATTCAACTTTATGTGTGTGAGATTTATTCATGCAAGCACTTTTGAGATCACTTTTTGATACACACACATACACACACACACTTTTTTTCCTGAATCATTTTGAAAGTTATCTTTTTGCTACAAAAAACATTATTTGGCACAGTCCTCCCAAGAACCTCCTCTCCTATACAACTGCAACATCATTACATCCCTGAAATTGAACAATGGTGTAAGACTGTAATAAAATTTTCCCAACTACCCCAAAAGAGATCTGTTTCAGCTGTTGTCTGTTTTTCTTGAGGATCCAATTATGGATCATGCGTTGCAGTTAGTCCTATTTTATCTCCTCTCCCCTAGGACAGTCCACTATAGAGTTTCCTTCACGACACTGACATTTTTTGTAGAGTCCAGGCTGGTCATCTCCTAGAATGTTCCACAATCTGGACTGAATTGTTTCCTTGGGATAAAGATCCCAAGTCACTGTTTGCCTGGAACACTGTGTCATCTGTGCTGTGTGTCCTCCTCAGTGCCTCACGTCAGAGACACAGAAGGTCAAGGACTGGACTGCTGTTATTAGCTCTCAAGTTCCTCATCTGTACCTACGGATAAAATCTGTGTTGCCCAATTCAAATGGCACAGACAATGAGGATGACAGAAGTGGTACTCAGAAATGCATGGAGAGGGCGCCTGGGTGGCTCAGATGGTTAAGCGTCTGCTTTCGGCTCAGGTCATGATCCCAGGATCCTGAGATCGAGTCCCGCATTGGGCTCCCTGCTCTGTGGGAGGCCTGCTTCTCCCTCTGCCTCTGCCTCTCTCTCTCTCTCCCTGTCTCTCATGAATAAATAAATAAAATCTTTCAAAAAAAAGAAATGCATGGAGGTTTCTGGAAGGAAGGGAAACTGACAGCAAGGGAGCATAGAAAGCAGTGTGCATTCTGGTATGTGTTTAACTTCTGTTATTCAAAACGCTTTTTGTTTGTTTGTTTAAAACGTAGTATGTGCACACAGTACAAAATTTAAACAGAGCCCATATTAAAAACCAAATCGTTCTTCCACTCAAATCAGGAAAAATCAGCCCATTACTTTTAACACACTTACCAGGTAACTACAAGAGAAAAATACTCCCTAATTTGGATGAAATGACTAGATCAGCTTGACTTTATGTGGAAATAGCATAAGTAAAGAGTCCCCTCCAGATCCTCTTTATTCTAATTGTTTAACGACCTTCAAAAAAATTAGCTGCAACCTGCTCCCCCAAACAAAAAATAAAAAGGAGACAGAAAAATCACACCTAGTACGTCAGGATTCAACTTAGCCTGGGCCTTGTCTGTAAATTCCAGACCAGGAAGCATTTTATTTAACACAGTTTTGTTTGTTCCTCCACGCCTGTGGATGGCAACAGTGACTGATGAAGGGCTGTGAGTGCACACAAACCATTCTCAGGAGAAAGGGGCCGCCGGGCCAAGCCAAGCAACCACAGAGGCGGGACAGCCCTGGAGCAGAGTCCCTCCTAAGGGATACACGCGGGGCCAGCCCCCAACCATCTGCTCCCTGCCCCCGCCCCCACCTCATCTACCCAGTCTGGGATGACTTGTGGCTAACGCATTCAACTGGAAAAAGGAAAGTGACAAAGGCAGGCAAAACCCCTACTTCTTCTGTTTCTAGTGCAGTATAGAGCAGTGGCTGCCAATCCTAGCCGCATTGGGGAAGTTTTTTAAGAAACACTAATGCCAGGCTTCCACTCCAAACCAAATTAATCAGAATATCTGGGCATGGAGGCCCAGGTGTTGGTATTTGTGTTTAACTCCCAGCAGATGCCTCTATGTGCAGCAGGACTGGGAACCAGAGGGACAGGGCAGAGGCTCGCAAACATGAGCCTGCATCAGAATCCCCTGGAGGACTTAAGAAACTAAGTCACTAGGCCTCAGCCCCAGAGTTTGTCATTCAGTTGGTCTGGGGTAGGGCCTGAAAATTCCCGTTCCTAACAAGTCCCCAGGTGATGCTGACGCTATTGGAACCACACTTAGAGAACCACCAATGTAGGGCAAATGACATGGCTCAGGGGCTGGACATATTTAGGTTTAAATCTCCAGGCGGTCATCATCTAGAGGGATGACCTTGACTTAACCTCTCTGAGCCTCAGCTTCCTTATCTGCAATGCTCCTGTGAGGATTAAACTACTGTGTGCAAAGTGATAAGCACAGGGCCAGGCACATCCAGGAGTGAACACACAGGAGGGCCCCCCCCCCACTTCCCCTGGGCACACACAGAAGAGGCTGCCGGGCTCACCAGCAACCCCTGTGCCATCAGAGGCCAGCCCCCACAGTGCCCCCCCCCCGCCCACGGGCTCACCTGCTGTGATGGAACGACTTCAGCTTTGGCTGCAGCAGCACAAACAGCACTACAAGGAGGAGAATGAGAGCCACGGAGCTGGCAGTGGAAGCCACTATGGACAGCGTGGGGACCCCGAGGGACGTGCGGGCATCTTTGTCTACAGAAATAAACCATTGTCAGAAGTGTGTCATACCCGGACCTGGAACACGTGAGCCCCACGGCTGATCTCGTCCAAGCTTCCTTGCCCAGTGCCACGGCCGGAGCCACTTGGAAGTCGATGTGTGGAGCAGTGTTTACATACAAGGAAAGGAGCCGTTTCCCTATCCTGTTCCTAAATCTAAAATTCACTTCAGCCCTGTGAGGGCCATCTCACTCCTAACCTCACCGACCCCTAGAGATCTGACCTGTACGAACCCCTTCTGACGCTGCCCTCAGTAGCGGGCTGGTAGACATCGGCCACTTCACCGGCTGCGGCATTCCACCATCCAAGGTCCCGCCCATGTTTCCCCCACGTGGCAGGGAAACTGGTAAGAACCAAGCTGTAATAACCCCCTGTTCTAAGATCCTGTAGCTTCAGTTGTAAATCTCAGGCCGGTCCCCAGCCTTCCCTGGGTTGTCATGGTCTTGGAGCCCTAGTGTGAAGCACAAAGACGGCTGTATGACACACGCTTTCCTGCAGGCAGTTGGATTTTCCTGTCATGCACAACAGGAGGGGGCAGGAGGGGGTGAGGGCAAGGTCTTCTGTCCAGCTGGACTGTAGCTCTATAACAAAATAGTCCATTTCCATTCAAAGAAAAATAATATAAAAGAGATACTCTAGAAGGTGTTAGGAGAACACGGTCAAAGGTCACCAGCACTTGGCTGGGCAAACAGGAGATGCTGAGCATCAAAGGGACTTTACATAGCAGAACAGATGCCTCAGTAAAGCTACCGAGCCCCTTGGTGGCTCAGCTGAATTGCAGTGGGACACGCACCAGCAACCCCAGATGTCTTGCACAAAGACCTGAAATCCCAAAGGAAGGGAGGCCGCAGGGCATCAAAGGAACTATACTGCCCCACGGCACAGGTGCTCTGGAGGAAGTGGGCACCACTGCCCGTCAGTTGAAAGGAAGCAGAACCCCAGCAGCCCCCGCTTTCCCATCTGTCAGACTGACCCTCGTTGAGACGACAGCTGATCTCCATGGCTGGCTTCCATTCTCCATTCTTACAGGTCAGGTACTTGTAATCGCCCTTCAACATGTAGCCTTCGGCACACAGGTACTCAATGACGCTGCCCGCGTTCAGGGGGTCTCTGCAAGGCCGGGGGTGGCAGATGTAGCCACCATTCTCTGGCTCCGGGGGCAGGGAGCACACTGCAAAGACAGACAGTTAACGGTGCTACAGTGCTGGGGTTTTCCAGTGGGAATCCTGTCCGTGACGCTGAGCAGGACGGTTCTGCAGGCCTCAACGGGTAACACAGGAGGAAGCAAGAGCCATTCCCTTGGAGAGGCTGTCGGCCAAACTCTGGAAATTCAGGTTGCCAATGACAGAGGGAAGCACGCTAGCCACAGGGAAAGTCTGGCTGCTTGCAACACTGCCCCTCTCCTCGGCACGTGCCTTGAGAGGACTGAATCCATAAGGGAGTGACAGACTCTGACAAAGTCGTGAACTCACAGAGATCTAGCACATAATACGGTTTTGATAAAACCTACTGAGACACACAATGAATCAGAGTGAAAGGTGGTAAAAAATACTGTCAGCCTGGGCAGGAGACACATCAGCCCTGTTTCCAACATCAATACCAGCAAGGACTCCACTGTGTGATGAAAATGTGCCTTCATGGCCTGGCAGGGGATTTCTGATGGATTCGCAGGCCCCCTCTCCAGCCCCTACCTCCTGAGTGGAGTGGTCATTGCCAGCGCTTGTCTCTATCCCATAGGAAAGCCTGCATTTTTTGTTCAGGTAGGACTGTTTAGCTTTAAAAGCACCTTCACCTCCTATCTTATTTACGCTGACAGCTCCAGGAGATAGGTATCATGACTCCCCTTTGTCGATGAGGACACCGGCCCACAGAAGTTCAATGACTTGTAGCCAAGCGTAAGGCGGCATAAAGGGCAGACCTCCCTGGTGGACTCTTCTGATTCTAAGACCTGTGCCCTTTCCACCCACAGACACTGCTTCTACCCCATGAGCTGAGCGGGCCTTTAAGAAGTGTGAATGTCAGGTTACCTCCCTTTCAAACAGGTCAGTCAGGGGGATGGCAAACGGAGCCCAACTGTGATGGGAACCCTGGCATAGATAAGTTGTAGTAATAAATCAGACGAGCGGCAAGGCCTGAGCAGCCCGAGGAGAAGGGGGACTCCAACGCCACGGCCCGCCCTTCCACTCCCGGACAGACACTGCAGGACGGACCGTGCGGTGGGCCTCGCCGTAAGAGGCGGGGCACAGCAGCGGCACGAAAGGAGCTGCTGTTTGGAAGGCTGGGCTGGGGGAGGAGACACGCTGGCAGGATGGCCGGTACCACGAACTGCAACTTTCCAAAAGCCATCCTAATACAAGAAAGATAAAAGTCTCCAAAGGACATCTGATTTTGCTGACAGATACCCTGCCCCTATCCTATCACAAGAACATCAGTATGAAAATAAGAACTGTTGGGGTTTTTTTTTTTTTCCCACTTCTTCTAATAGACCTGGAGTCTGATTGTGCCCTCTCCCGTTCACGGGCCTGCCCACCACTCCCTCGCACACAGATGCCCTTACAGTCTCTCACCAAATACCACTTCCCTTCAACCTGCAAACTGCTAGTAAGCAAGCTGCCAGCCAGCCAGGTGAGGGGAGGGGTGGGGGTCACGTCAAAAAAGAGATGACGGCTCCCTGCCTACAAGCTGCTTATTGCTGAGGTGGGGAGAAAAGCCTCAATTGCAAAGATTTATTAGAAGACAACGCCAGGGTGGGTGCCCCAGGGATCCACAGGGGAGGTCTGGGCAACTTCTCTGAGACTAACAAATGAGCCCAAATAAGCCCCCCAGTCCCCTCTAGGGACATGCCTTCTCCAGATTCTTCCCACGCCACCCACCTCACCCAAAGTCTTGAACAGGAGGGGAGAGACCCACCAGACTCCTTTCTGGTGCCTCCTGCAACTTTGGCCAACTAGTTCAAAGAGTTGGCCAGCTGGATTTCCAAAGAAACCTCTACAAACGGCTTTACTCTTTACACTTTCCTTCTTTTGTTCAGGGCAACAAGACTGCCACAGATCCCCCAGCTCTCCTAGGACTGTGTCTAATTGGGGCATTTCCGAGGCATAATTAACACTGAGTACTCCAGGGCAGCTCCAGAAAGCAGGCAGGACCCACTCACAGGTCCAGTGTGCTGGGAAAGATGGTCTCAGAGGAAGAGCTGCAGATTCTAAAGCCACTCCCGCTTTGCTGGTATCCCTGCCCACAAAGCCCACATCTGCATGGAATCTATGAGAGGAACCCTGGAGATCACCCAGCATTCATTTGATCAGTGAAAAAGACTGAGGTCTACAAAGAAGTGAGTTGCAATTTCATTTCATTTCAATTCAACTAATATTTATTGATTATTATGTAGGAGTCATTGTGCTCTGCTCTGAAAAAGGATAAAGATAAGCACTTCAGGTACTTGGAGCTAAAGAGGGCTATGACTAGTATACACATATATTTTAAAAGTTGTTTTCTTTATGGCTTCTGGGCTTTGTGTCTTAAGGACATTTCTCTGGGGTTATAAACGTACCCTCTGAGGTTATAAACGTACTCCCCAATGTTTTCTAGAGTGGATCTTTGTTATGTAAATAATACTTTTACTGAAAAAAAAAAAACATAGGACATACATACACATGATATAAAACTCAAAAAGAAGGGTGTACAGTGAAAAGTAAACCCTCTCCTGTTCCTGAGTCACTCAGTTCCTCTCTTCAAAGGCACTGCACCCATTTCTTTCATATTCTTCCAAAGATACTCCACACACAGACATTCTAATACACCTCAAAGAACGTGATTAGTGCCACAAGACAGGGAGCACAAAGCAGGAGAGACCACATCTTGTGTGGGAGAGACCAGGCAAGGTTCATGAGGGGGCAGCATTTCAAGTGGGGGCTTTATCTCATCAGAAGAAGGTTTAAGCAAATGCAGAGGTAGGAAAGCGCAAGTAAAGCCTAGAAAAGATCAAGCAGCCCCAGCTAGCTGGGTTGCATAATAGAGTAAGGAAAATTCAGAAAGAAGTGCCGAGCAATGAAACCATCTTGCAGAGGGCCTTGACTGCAACAGATGTTTGTACTATGTTCAAAGGACAAGGGGAGCTTTTGAAGGGTCTCGAGAAGGGCAGAATTACAAGAGGAGCTGAATCTGATCAAAGATGGACAGGGTGGAGGGAGCCCTAGAGTATGTCAGCCGCACAGCAATGCCAGCCTGGTGAGGTAAGTGCACACGGGTTATGTTATGTTATGTTACCTAGGACGGTCAGGCAAAGGGGACAAGCTAAATACATCGGGCTCAGCGTTGCAAAGAGGCTGCCCCGGGTCCAAGGAGGTAAGGAGGCTGTAGAAATAAAAACAAAAAGGGGGGTGGGTGGGTGGAGGCAAGGTCATTTTAAGACACCAGGAACACAAAAAATATGGCTCTGTTGCCCAAACAGCAGAGTGGGAGAGTCATGGCAAAGAGCAGGTGTTTGAGAGGATGCTCTCAGTGATGCCTGGGTTAACAAGAAAGGGAAGAACATCAGGAAGAGCAAATAATCATCCAGAGGCTTCTGGAAGCCACCCTTCTGGGCGGGAGGCTTACTTAATCTGTGCATTGGGCTCTCTCTCTGACAACCCTAGGTCCGAGAGTTTCGAGCTCTGTTCTCAACCTCAAGAAGACAATGAACTCATCTGATCTGGCAAAGCTGCATAATTTTAAAAAAAGAGGGAGAAAGCCAGAAGATAGAAATTTTATAGGAAAAAAATCAATTAATTCTCCTTAGCTTCCTTCTCTGCTTTCCATGATCTCCTACAGCCCCTTAGGTCTCCACTGCACGCAGGACGCAGCGAGACAGTTCTTCAGGGGCCGCAGAGTGACTGGTGCATGGTAGTCATTCAGCGAAAGGCCATCCAACCAGCTGGGAGCGGACAGATGGGGGTAGAAGACGCAAAATCAGCTGGCTGATCCTTCCACCTCCAAGTCGCTGCAGCCTAAACCCTCAGTAGAAAACAAGAACCCTTGATCAGCCCTTCTAAATGGGTTTTGCTTTTGTTGTTTTGGGGACCAGCCTTTTGGAGAAAGAGGCAATAAACAAAACAAACTTTGTACGATTCCGTAACAAGCAAATCAAAGGGAGCTCCAGGAAGGGGCCCAGGATCAAACTGTTCAGTTTAAAAAACTGAAGAAGCACTTGAGCCCCTGCAGAATCAGGTGTGGGGAGTAGGGAGTTCTAAGGCCAGCCTGAGGAGGGGAAAGAGACATTTAAATACCTGGTGCATTTTTTTTTTTTAAGATTTTATTTATTTATTTGACAGAGAGAGATACAGCGAGAGAGGGAACACAAGCAGGGGGAGTGGGAGAGGGAGAAGCAGGCTTCCCACCAAGCAGGGTGCCCGATGTGGGGCTCGATCCCAGGACCCCAGGACCATGACCTGAGCCGAAGGCAGACGCTTAACGACTGAACCACCCAGGCGTCCCTACCTGGTACATTTTAAAAAGTCTCAACAAAAGAGGTTTCTGGCTGAGTTGGTTATCAAGAAAACCATACTTCCAAACAGGGACTGAAGGCTTAAGAAACTGTTGGTGTTCACTCCCAGGTTTGAAATAATGCTTTAGACTAAATCAGAGGAGTAACATTTAGAACACAACTGAGCACAGAGAAGTAGGTGTTTAATCAAGGCATCCAAAGAAAGGATGGCCAGAGAAAAGCTTTCCTGGGAATTCAGGGAACAGGGGAGAAGAAAAAGGCTCCCCCAAACCCAGCACACAAACCCAGCAGTTGCAATCATCAGGGACACCACTGGAGGCAGTGCTGTAAATGTCCCTATTTGGTTGTAATTCCATCGAAGGATTAGAGCTCGCCTCTCCCCACAAGCCACCCTAGGAGGGCCATAAATGTCCATGTGACAGGACCGGGCCCACAAAAAGCTTAACAATTTAGAGAGGACAGACTCACATGCGTGCAACTCTAATGTAAATCAAAGAAGGAGGTGTTAAAAGGTTAGCTTTTCTATTAGCCTGGGCTGTCCTTGTCAGAGACCTCTTATTCATCTGAGCACTGGTGGCAACTGGTGGAAGGTGAGACCCCGGGGCAAAGAAGAGAAACAGAATCAAAAAAATAAGGAGGGAGGAAGGAACAGATGGACATCACATATCTAGCACAGCACTGTCCAAGAG